GCTTCATCCTTAACTGAGACTAATAAATTTCTTTATGTACCGCTAAATCATCTTCTGTAAAATGTTATATCAGACAGATCCAGAACAAAGATTTTTTTTTTTCTATGCGCTGTTTTTTTTCCCCTGTATCCAATCTATAAGGCTAAACTTACGGCATAGATGTCATAGAATAGAATGCAAAAGTTCAATGATACAAAATAGCATGTAGTTGTACATATTGACATATCACTCAACAAAAAGTCAACAAAAAGAAAATAATTAGATTGCCCATTCAATTGAACAGATAAGATCCAAAAGAGGGTTAATCGATAACAAGCATAATATATGATAAGATCACACAATCTATTGAGACATGTCAGTATAAATTAGATACCGGAGCAGCACTTGGATGTGTACATTTCAAGCAAGTGAGAAAGGCCTTTTTCAACGCATGATGTGCTGCTGCTACACAGATCCCATTAACAACAGAGCTTGATGGTTCCAAACCAAGCAAAACTGGTAAAATGCGGCCATAGAATGTAGGCCTATCTTTTGCAATTGCTGAAAGGCTGGGAATAGACCAAAGGTCAGTGGAAACCAAGCGAAGAATCAAACAACATAGAGAGGAAGAGATTTTTACAAACATGATTGACAGGTATGAATAACTTTCTAGTAATGACAATGAAAATATTTGCCAAAGAACCAGTCTTGAATTAAACTAACTGCTGAACATTGTAAATGAAGAGGCAGGATTAGTAATGTCTACCATCTCAAGAGTATCTATAAAGGTCGGGACACACGTTGCTTTCAAACAAAACTAAGTAGCTAGGATTTCCCAATAAGGAGTACTAAATGATCTAGTAACACATACACATGCTTTTTCCCTTCATTAAGCGAGGGGCATGCTTCTATAATTGCAGAGCAAAGCAAAGCTCAAACAAGAAATGCTTAACTACCTGTTAATCAGCACAACAATCACTGAGTTACTGAGAGAATTCACTGTTGGACGTCTGAGTTGATCAAGCAGGAGACCCAAACTACGACTAGCATCAATTGACAAATCTTTGAAGTTGAGTATGGGATGACCCTTGCGAATCCAAGATATGTTAAATTCCATAAGCTGTCCTGTAAACAAGAGGAGTGCAATCTATTTGAGCGCTGACATGAAAATATTAATAATTAAATTGGCCCAACCTTATGCAAGTCTGACGAAGATGAGCAAACCCCAAATTTAATACCTTGATGAGGAGGGGGCTCTGAGGAACCATTTGGATCTGGTGTGTATAGAAGAATAACTGCTCCAACAAACTTCAGTGCCAGCAACTTTGTACCACCACTACCATGCTTTTAAAGATGTTACAGATCAAAGGCATCAGACCATAAACCAAAACGTGACTACGTAGGGTAAAAAATGTTGTTACTTACTTGAAAAGCAAGCGAGTATACTTTTTCTTTGAACTTTATCATCCACGCCCATGCAGATTCAAGTGCACTGTCCAGATCACTGGAGTATAGACCCTATAACATTTTGAAACAAGAATGGGATGATCACAAGTTAAAAAGTGATCTAGAAATAGAACCAATTCAAAGGTGAGAAAGAGTTAGAACAGAGATAGACAAATTCAGTAAGACAAATAAAATGTAAAAATTAAGTTGTATTTAATGGCTTTAAAGATAAATAAATCAAAACCCCCATAATATATGTTGCTATTACCACCCCCTTCTACTCCCTCATCTTCACATTTCTTTATTTATAAGTACAATCTGATCTCACTGGTCACCAATCAATTTTTTCCTTTGCTGAGAGACTAGTAAAAATTTTGTGAACCTTTTATGTGCCTTGTTCACTACATAAGCTAAATGCTGACTATTGATAGAAATAGAATAATATATATGGCTAGATATTTAAGAATTAAGTTTTTAAACTTAGAATTGAGCAATTATCTTCCAGTTGTAACAACGTCGAACCAAATCATATAATATCAAACGCATTGGCGTGCACACATCATAGAGCAAAATATAGTAATTTACCAATTAAATACATATTTAATTCTGTTATGTTAGAATATAAGCGATCATACTGAATTTGGCTAAGCATGCAAGGGACTTAAGTCATCAAATCAAGGAGCACGATTAGAAAACCAGCAGGAATGGAATGAATAAAAAGATAGGATTTAGTAGATTCAGTAGTAAAAATATTTCACCTGTATTGCAATTTTCTCAAGAGTGGAATGAAATAAATTAATTCCACATGAGATAGCTTGACGAACAACAGCAGGTGTGTCATCATCCAAAACAGCAAGGAGCACGGGTATAATGTCAGGCAAGAACTCTGTGTTTTTAGATCCAATTTCACCAAGCATCCTGCAACTCAAGAAAAGAGGGACATCTATGAGTCTAAGACTCTACGTCAACGGGCAATTTGCATAGTCAGTAGTCCACCCGTAAATGCTGAACTAAGTTCAACGGCCATCTTAGCGCCAAAAAGACCGGAAAATTAAAAAGGGAGGAGAAAAAAGCAACACACATATTGGTGTCCATTAACCAATTTAAGGGCAAATAAGAAAATAGGAGAAAGGGAAATTGAAGCAAAAACTACAAAATGTGTACAACATAAGGAAACCAAACTTTTTTTAATAGCAGAATCAGAAAAGAGGAAAAGATTAAGTATAACGAACGAAAAGAAATTCTCCTTGTAATAGGCAATGAAAACGGACAACAACAAAGAACAACAGCCAAGCTCAAGAGGGCGATAAAGCTCGCTGATCACTCTGTACGCATAATGAGATTCCTATACAAAAGGAATGCGCAAGGCAACAATTAAAATCCATGAAGGCTATCCTCTCCGATTAAAAGACTGAAATTTGAAAATAATGTATAAGCAAGAATGGTCGTCCCTCCACGAGTAATTTCTACCTTTAATTCATCAGGGCTGCCTTCTCTTTCTCATGACAAATATTCAAATAAAGAAAAGCATACACATTGGTGTATTCAGAAAGAGAAGAACATGAAAAAGAAAACCGTGCACAATGGAAGCTTTAATTCATCAGGGCTGCCTTGTCTTTCTCATGACAAATATTCAAATAAAGAAAAGCATACACATTGGTGTATTCAGAAAGAGAAGAACATGAAAAAGAAAACCGTGCACAATGGAAGCTTACTCGGCGATAAATTTGCGAACTGGACTGAAGCGGTCGGACTGAAAATCGAAGAGACATGGAAGAAACTCGGTGAGCAAAACGGGGTCTTCCTGAGGCAACTCTAGCTTCAGTTGCTGCAAGTAATCGAGCTTGGAGGGTATGTCCATGGCCAACTTGACCGAGTGCACGAGACTGGCGAGCTTTTCCCGCGAAGTGGCGGCCATCTTTCCTACCATTGCTGAAGAGAACAACCCCAATTCAAAAATCTTGCATGGAAATCACGAGCAAGAGCCTATCATATCAGTGCAATTAGGGTTTAGAAGACGAGGGAGAAACGAGATTTGAATGCGCGAGGTCAGAAACAGAATACTAGAAAGAGTGCCCCTTTTTCTATTTTCTTTTAATGTCTCTAGTTCCACGCAGATGTCATTCAAGCTTCTTCTTTTCACGATTCGTTCAGCCGGACCGTAGATGGGATTCCGAGGTCGGACGGACATCCTAACCTCCGAACTGACAAGAATAGATGGCCAAAAAAAGAGTAACAATAATAATAAAATTTAACCATTCATTAAAGCATATTGAAAAATTTAACTAAATTAATTAATTATAATAAATATATATTGATTTTATTAAATTAGACTCTTTAATCATATGCATCGAAATCACTCTGGATAGAAATCCTATACAGCCAATAAGAATATTTTAGAGATAAAATACAAATTTAAAAAAAAAATGCGGTCTTATATTTAAAACCAAACTCTATCCTTTATTTAATTGCTATATTAACAATGAGGATTATCCTTCACCTTTTAACAAAGAGATGGAAACTAATGAGAGAGGATACGCTTTTGTTGTTTGCATTATACCCGACTGTGTTTTAAGTGAATGAGTTTTGGATTTTACTAAAATTTTCAACTTACGTATAAATATATGATTTTGAGGGTGAATTTTACCTGAAAGTTCTTGTTGGGTGATTTTAAGAGGAAAACCCCCCTAAAAAAATTTCTTTCAAGTTTCAAAATTTCAAGCCAGTATTATTTACTACAATTTAATAGTAATTTACTATATTTGAAAAGTAGATGACAATACATTTCTATAATAATTTTTAATTTAGGATTTTGAAATTCAAAAAATAATTTTTAATAATTTTTCTATTTTTAATTAGCATAATAATTCCTCAAGATTTGAAAAAAGGTGTACTATCTCTTTATATTAATGTTTCATCAACATTGACTATTATTCTAGGCAGGAAGCTTTTCAAAAGAAGTAATGAGTATCCTAAATTTTTTATTGTCACAACGAATATCCAACAAACTGTTGTCAACTATTCAGAATAATTACAATTAGCACTTCTAAATTCTAACCATTGATCACTTGACATTGCTTAGATGCAAAATTAAGGCCTTTTTGAAATAACTTATAAATAATTTTTTAATTTTGATTTACGAGATAAATATATAAAAAAATTTGTTTATAAATACTTTTCAACACTATTTCAAACAAATTTACTTGTGAGAAAAATCCAAACAATTTATATTTCAGATGCTTTAAACAGTAATAAATTGAAAAAGCACTCAGTGTAAAAATATCATAAAAATGATGGTAATTGTTTTTTTTTAAATAATTGTAATCTTTTAATCTTTAATTAGTACATATATAAAATATACAACACGTTTGTGGAAAGTTCAACTGGCCCTTTGTATAGTTTTCCCTAAAATTCTATTCGATTATATGGGCACCCTTAGCACGAAAAGTGAAAAGGAAAGCAACCAATGAGACGCTTGAAAAGTCTTAACAGATAACTCAGAAAAACGGTTAGTTAACAAACAGACAAAATAGAAATCTCAGAGAGCTGATTATATATCAGCAACGTTATCCCAATTCCCAAACAAGTCCCTCCCAGAGTTCAGGTCCGTCAAACAGCAAAGAAAGATGGCTACAGCCATGATAAGAGGAACAAGGCTTCAAGTGATGAATGCGACGTCGTCCTCTACCGGCAGCAGTGGACGGAAGCTCATAGAGTCCGGCACGGTGAGGGCGATACAGGCGAGGGAAGCTTACAAGGCGATGAGCACAGAGGGGTTTGTGCTGCTGGACGTGAGGCCACCGTGGGAGAGAGAGAAGGCACGTCCCAAGGAGTCAGTGCACGTGCCAATCTTTGTGGAAGACAAGGATGAGGGTGTTGTGACTCTGTTAAAGAAATGGGTTCACTTTGGTTATATTGGATTGTGGACAGGTCAGTACTTGACTACTATCAACCCAGACTTCCTTGCTCAAGTGGAAATGGCCATTCCTAGCAAGAACACTAACATTCTTGTGGCCTGTGGTGAAGGTCTCAGGTAATCCCTAATGTTGTAGATTCATTAATTTGGTAATTTTAAACTACTAGTCTCCGCTCCTAATTATAAGATCTCGTTTGTAGACCTCGTTTGTAGGTTACAAATGAAGTCTTATAATTATAACCGGAGGTACTTGATATAACACTACCATCTAAAGCTAGAATCAGCTGAGAATGATATGGAAGCCAAAATTTAGATGTTGGTTTTGGTGATTGGGATAGCAGGTCCATGATAGCATTGTCAAAGCTGTATGAAGGAAGTTATAGAAATCTGGGATGGCTAGTTGGAGGGTTTAATCGTTCTAAAGAAGAAGACTTTCCAGAAGTAGAAGGACAGGAAAAGTTGCAGTACGCTACTATAGGGGGAGTGTCCTACTATTTTCTTCAGTTGCTCTTACTTCTACAGTCTGTAAATAAAGGATAAATCTCCATGTGTTGTTCGTAACGTGTGTTCAAGCTCATCTCTGATGCCTTTATATATGGCCAACTCTATGAAAAATGGGACTGCGTTTGTAGGTTAGCTAAGTGTGAGGAATTATATTAAGACAAACTTATGGGATTTTACTCGTTAGGTTTTAATACTGACTTGATTTTTTATGTTGGTATAAAGTCTACGATCTCTTGTCTTAATTAAACATGTTGCCAAATGATTCTTGACAAGAAGTCCCTTGTCTCCATAAGGCCTCTTCCCCATAAACACGGTCCAATAATGCAAGAAATTTTCATTATCACCATTTCATTTAATTTGCTAAATTGGCTCAATCCAACCCCTCCCCACCTTTTTATTGAGTTTTGGCATCAGCCCTGCAAACGCCACAAAAGTTTCTCTATTTTCTGGAGTAATAAAATTTCCAATTATTCACTATTAAGTTCGTTAACATTAATCTCTGATTCTTAATATAAAATCCAGTAGACTAATTTGAAAAGTTTAAATAAGCAAAATAGATTATTTAACATGGCTTTGTGTTACGTAATCTCTCTAAAATACTTATATACATCATTCCATTAAATGTTAGTTTATAATAAGCCAAGCAAATTGGTTTAGAGAAAAATGATAAATCTAAATATATTAAAGTAATTCATTTAGATTCTTTAATCTCCTCAACAAAATCAATTAGATCTTATATAAAGACACATAAGAAGCATAAATATAATATCCAAAGAAATACCTTTCACAAGAGTCATTGATGTGTTGTTATTCAGTTGTTATACTACTCCTCCGGTCCTTAATATAGAACCCAATCTTTGAGTTGGTTTTGATTCTAAATATAAGACCCATTTCTCACATTTATCAATTTTCTCTAAATTACCCTTGTGGATACTCCCTCAACCATAATCAAGTAGAAGAGGGAGAGAGGGTATTAAAAAAGATGATTATGGTGTTTTAGGAAAAATGTGTCACTTTTTTTTATAATTAATTAACTTACCTAACTTCCTTAATCTAATCAAATTAGTTAAATAGGTCTTATATTAAAGACCAAAGAAGTACTTTTTATCAAAGAAACCTAACAACAAATACTCAATTTTTTTTTATAAATTAAAAAAATTTCATTTCTTGAACTATACGAATAGGATCCGAGGTTGTATAATAGTGAGAAAAAATTAGGCAATTTGCACTCCTCTTTGGGCCTTTCCTGAAAGGGAAAGGCAAAAAAATCCACATAAAAAGCCTCTGTATCCCATCTGAGCAAGCGCATGCTCACAGCAATCTCGTTATGTACCTGAGACACACGTTGCACCTTTTCATTTTCCCCCGCAAACGGCCAATCAATACGATGACTCCCGTCACCATAACCAATAGCCTAATTATTGCTAATGATTTCCAGGAAAATAGTGGCTTAGATGCCAACTAAATCTATGGTTCTGGTCTGGCTATTCTTTCTTCTTTTTTTTCCCTTGTCTGTGCCACAAGACACTGCATTGCATCCCATGCTTAAACAGTAAATATCTTCCTCACCTTCTTCATGTTCCTACGGCATACCGGGCAAGTACCCTCTGCCTCTGCTAATCTGCAAAAATTAGATTGGTCACACATGATCTCATACTGACATGGATAAGCTGATTCATTACATGCATGCCACAAAAATAAGATCTACTAAATTAATTACTAATCCTCCGGTCCTTAATGTAAGACCTAATTAAAGAGTTGATGTTGGTCTTATATGTAAGATCTATTTCACAAGTTTACTAATTTTTTGTCAAATTAACCCTATTAATATTCCCCAACAATAATCAAGTAGGAGGAGAGGGAGGGAATTAAAGAAGATGTTTAGAGTATTTTAGAAAAAAACATATCATATTAACTAATTTAACTAACATTCTTAATTTATTCAAATTAGTTAACTAGGTCTTACATTAAGGACCGGAGGAGTATAATACAATGACTTGCAAGGCAGAAAAGTCTATGCGCTTCTTTAGATGCATGACAAATAGCAGTTTTCACTATGCGAATGTTGGACCCGTCCTAGTTATTACTATACTGTAATGAAATTATACTACAAAAGATGCATTTTTCAACAGCCTCCCATCATTTGTTTCCAGAAATTAGATGAGAAGAGCTCTTTCCTACACAACAGTGACGCCACAACATAGATTCTCCAAGCTAATATAATCAAAATGTAAATCATGCCGTATAAATTGGCACACTTTGTGTATATCCAAATGCAGCATGCTAAGCTGCTCATATGAAATTTCTGGCCAATGGTTAGTTTAGTCCTAATATGTCAAAATCAGGGTGATGGATCCACTGCCAACTTTCATGAACTAAATTTCAGTTTGTAATGGAACTGAGAACTCAAAAATGGGATCTAGCATGAGAAAGGGGCAATTGCTTACCTTGTTGCACATTCAAAGCAAGCCACGCAGTGTCCACAAGGAAGGAAGAAGCAGTCCCTTGGAGCATCAAAGCATATTGCACAAAGGCGCCTTGTATTATTACTGGTTTCACCATCAGCTATAGACTTCCCATTAATGGAATCCCCTGTAAGAAAGTCAAGATCCTCCTCGTCTTGTGACATGGATTCATATGATGAACCCCAGCTGGAAAGATCATCATCTTTGGGAGAAAGCAAAGGGGCTCTTTGAGGTGCTGTTCCCTCATATCTAACTCCTGCGCTATCTTGAGAATAGTGCAGCTTGCTAAAGTAGTTGAAGGCCAAAAACATAAGCAAAGTCAATCCACCTGTGAGGAGAATGACAGAAATATTAACATATATAATCATATAAGGCTTCAAACAGTGATTAGGAAGTTGACCATATGACAAGCATACCCATGCCAAAAATATATGTGACCCATCTTGGTCCATAGGACAATTTGACATACCACTGATTACCGGATGTATTCTGAAGCAAAGAAAAGAAAACTTAAAACAGTAAAAGAAAAGGAGCTGAATCAAATTGAGAGTCTTACTTGAGTTATATTAGAAGCATTTTACTTCCAAGATAAACCCCATTGCCAGCTTTGAGCAACAAAATTTTTGGTTTCAAGCAGATAACAAGAACCTTACCTGTTGAGGTGCAGGAGATGTTAAGACAGCTGCATTCCCATCAGGAAAGAAAACACTCAAACCGCATGGGTCACTAGTCAAAGTACATTTGTAGTAAGCATCTGTTGTATTATACATGGCAGACCTCACTCTGATGATCAGTTCCACCTATTCAATGAGAAGGTCGAGAAAAGAATTACGACATCTGCTTTTATGCTACAAGCATTAAATTACTTCCGGAAAACTTGTACCCAGGTTTTATGAGAAATATGGTATATGAAATCTGAAAGTAGAACTCGTATCTGAAACAAACTTTCCCATAATCAGAAAACTCTCTCAGGTCCAGTATTATTGTTATGCCAATACCATTTTAGTATACTTCTTCGGAAAATGAAAGTGTTCAAGTGCTGGAAAAAACACCAATGATGGAAATAATTTTTTTACCAAGCAATTATTGTTGTGCCCTACATAATTTTCATGCATGACATATGAACCTTGGATGCATGCAGTTACTCCTTGGTCTATCAAAGTGAGTAATATGCATGATGCAGAAAATGCACAAGACACAATTACAATTCAGGTGACTTTGGAATTTGATGAAGGCAGCAATACAACAGAGTTCATCATACTAAAGAACTAGATATCTCAGAAGTTTAGTTCAAAAGTTGAGGGTCAGGATCAGCTGAGGATCATTTCTACACTCATTGACCTGTTAATAGTTAACTAAAAGTGTAACTATTTATCTTAGTTCAAGATTGGTGTCAATCTCCACAGGCCACAACTGATTCTCCCTAAAAAATGACACATCATGGACTCGTCATCAAAGAAAGTTGCCGATTTCAATCAGTTTAGAGAATTTAAATTAAGGCAACAAGACTAGAACGTATGGGATTGCAAAAATACCTCCGCTCTCTCCTCCTCATCCAGATTTCCTAGTGCCAAATAATAGTCCGATGAACTGAATATGTCCTGTGTAATCATACCAGTTCCTACGAAGAAACGGTAATTAAAATCAATATAGGATCAATATAAACATTGATATAGTTTCTTACTGCCGTGTTGCAACGTACCATCGAGTAAGTTCCATGAGAGTGTGCTATTAGGATATGATGGATCCTCCAGCCACCGAGAGAGGCCTTCACCCCCTGCAAGAAATGGCATCCGAATAACATGTTCACTGAATTTATTCTTGAAAATATTTGGTACAACCTGAAATGATAACCATAGATTCTTATACAATGTAAACAACATAAAGTGATGTTATAAGTCCTATGGAATCTACGATAGCTAAAACAAGGCAGGACTTTGCAGGGTTACGGTAAAAAACTGTACTACTTAAGCGTCTCAGCATTTAACTCATTAGGAGAAACTAAAACCATCCACAATCAATTCTACAATTGGTCAGTCAGTTCTAGGGATTTCATGATATGTTTTCACATTCTATGTTCCATGTATGAGGGATAGCTTCTTTATTTTTCATCTTAGACTGCGCAATTCAATATTCTACAAACTCTTTTATTATTATGCTAGAGCTTCTGTAGCTTATATGTTTAATTCAATTGTACTCAAAATATGCTTAGACAAGGCCTGCTAAAACTATCAGAGTTGCTTTCCTCAGTCAGACCAAATTATGACAATATAAAAATTCTCCAGAGAGGTCAGTGGAATGTTCCCAAAATAATTTTTCTATTGGAAAGAGGTAGAACTATGCTAACTAGGAAAAGAGCTATGCAAACAAAATTCAAAAAGCTAGTCCCTGTAAATTTTACGAGGAAAAATAGTAAGTTATACTGTTTGGTGAAATTAATATTTCAAGAGACTGTAGATAGTATATTACAGAAATGGGAGAATTACAATGAGGTCCCAAAGAAGGAAAATAATGACTAAAAAGTCCCAATAATAACCTAAACAGCAATGACAAGTTTCATGGTAAAAAAATATCAACTTTTGGGACTTGTTTTGTAATTATTTTTCTTCTTTGGAACCTCATTGTAATTCTCCCTACAAAAATCCCTAGCCAAGAACAATTCTGCAACTGCTAAATCACTTCCGATTATACAACTATTATGCCCTTACAGAAGCCCGCAATCTGCTAAAGAAACTAAGACATAGCAAGGATGAAAAAGTGAAATAAGTTTGTGTGTCAAATATCATAGAGACAATGTGGTTGCATTTTCCCAGGGAGTTAGATTTCACTATCTAGTCTTTGTTCTCTTCAAGATATGTCAGGTGTTATTACCAATTTGTCTTGGAGTTGGTTTACTTGGATCCATTCCATGGATCGGTCGAAATATGTGAGTTATAGCCGTTTAGCGGTAGCTATCAATCCAGTCTAACAGATTCCACCAACTTGACCCTTTTTAAATTACCCTTATTCAGATGGCGTAACAGATTATCAAGGTTTTTCGATACAAGTTATATTGATGCAAAATCCGCAACAATTTCCTGCTAGCTGTGTTAAATATGCGGCATCCCTCTGAGAAAATATTTCAAAAAAAGAAAAGAAAAAAAAAACCACATTCTAATGGAAGGCATACCTTCTGCAATCACGAGAACAATAGAAGGGCTCTCAGAGCTCATGCGATATGAAATATTTACTTGAGACCCTTCATTCAGGTAATATTTCCATTCCTAGAGAAGAGAATAAGAGAATTATTAGCTCAACCACAAAGATTCCGAGATTCAATGACATAGTGAAAAAAAAAAAACATACAAATTAAATATTCCTTATTTGTGATTAGTGAAATCAGCACCGAAGTATTATTTAAGGGTAGTACTTGCCTTATGCACATCAGGTTGAACGGTTACGTTACGAGTTTCTGTCCAAAAAGTAAAAACATCAAGAGCGGGGGTTCCGTATGTACCATAAAGCATGACTCCAGGCTTTGACCCTAAGTTTTCTACCTAATGCAAACAAAATCAGATCAGAGGCTCCGGTAATTTTATTAGTATAGAACTTATAACAAGTATTTAACCTTTATGTATTGCACGAATATGGGGCTAGGTTGGAGAAGAATGGAAGCGCTTGGACTAAGCAGGAGGTTCATTGACCCGTAAACTCCAAGTATCATAGTCATCGACACTGTGATATTGAAACACAACTTCAGCATTATCTATCCAATAAAATGAAGATTCAAACCGAACTTTAGTGTCTTCGTATTCACTACTGAAATTCATACCAAAGAACCAAAAGGTGAAAAGAACAACGACGCAGGACCAAGAATCATCCCTAGCTATTGAAGACGCATTTTGATATGTCCAATCGACGACGCTCACATTCTGCTGGTCTAGGCCAGGGGGTTGAGATTGAGGACGATGACTTCGTCTTTCCTCTTGGCGGCGTACTCGTGAAGATCCTGAAGTCGACGGAGTAGCTCCAGAAGCATCCCTAATGGCCGTAGAAGAAGAGGAAGATGAAGCAACAGGAGGTTGAAGTGCAGTGGAATGCGAGTCCGCCATTGTAGAGGGAAGAAGTAAAGCAAGCAGAGAACCTCAGACAGCGAAAACAGAGGAAGGTGGAAACCCCTAACCACAAGAAGAAAATGGAGAAGGAAACTGAGAGAAGACACGGATAGTAGTGAAGGCTAAGGGGTCCCATGGAAGTGATGCGAGGCGGAGGGAATTCACCAGTCGGTCGTCGTGTTAGCCTGGAATGGTAGCTAGGGAGAAGAGTGACAGTTATTGCCTTATTGGGTTAGTTACAGACGGAAATGGCGGTACTTTCGTTATTGAGCTTCCACGCGCGCCTACCATTCAATTTTTCTTCAGCAAAGGAACAAAAATTCAAGTAAAAGAATATAAAGCTGGTTAAAAGGTCAAAGAATACCCTACAGTATCACGGCCTCCTTTCAGATTAGGGAACACGTGCAAAATCTGGAAGCTGAGGCATGATTCCAAATCCACAAGGATGACTAACATATACTCCACTTTTAATATAAAATTTATTTAATTAGATTAAAAAATTTAAATTAATTAATTATAAAAAGTATAACATATTTTTCTAAAATATTTTAATCATCTTGATTATGGTTGAGAAAGTATCAATAAAAAAAATTTAAAAAAATTAATAAATAGAAAAAATAGATTTTACGTTTAGAATTAAAATCAAGTTAAAAATTAAGTTTATATTAAAGATCAAAGGAGTGATATGTATTTACTCAAAATTAAATATGCTTATGATAAGTAAAATTGCCTACGTAGTTTTTTAACTTTATATAAAATTTTAATTTTATTTCTTAATTTTATATAGTATTTTTTGTTTGACCTTGAATATAGTATTTTTTTTCAGTCTTATAAAATTAAGAAGTTTAGTGAATTCGTATATGTAAAGTTAAAAGACAAAAACATGTCCTTGGTGATATGTAAACTTTCTATGACTTTTATTATATTTAGATCAATAATGTTACAAAATTAATTAGATTGTCATTTTTCGGTCCTTATGACAAAAAAAACAAAATTACAGAGATCCAGGAACAATATTTCACTGATATTTTATTTCGAAATATGTAAAAGATATTTGCTACTCCGATATGCTAATTCAATGGTTAAAATGAGCGCACGTGACAGCCAGCTAATTACTTAGAGCTAACCAAATTAATGTATAAGGAAACCAAAACAGAACACTAAATACAGCCTAAACTTGTAACAAAAAAAATTTACTCATATACCAAATCTGCCTTTAAGAAAAACTGATTCCCTAAATATTACCACGCAACGTCGCTGTTTGTTAAATCAAACTATAAACAACCTCATTCTGTAACATACTTACGTTGAATGGTTATGATGAACAACCTCGTCTCGAGGACTATATAAACAGTTCATTCAATTCACAGCTCAATCAAAAGACATTGCTTCCGCCAACAAGTTTACTTTCACAGCAGATCAAACGAAACATAGAATCTCCATCGACACACTCCAACAGCTATTTTTGAAAGCTTTCTTATAGATCCTTTTCAGAGATTTGAAAGCCGGTACGCTGATTTTGTCGGATACAATGTCGAAAGATAGGCATAATAAGCTGCAGAGGTCAAATAGTAATGTAATATTTTTTATGAAGACTGGATGGAAGTTCGTAGGGTTTTGGAAGAGAAGGTGGTACAAGCTTCGTATGAACCTCAAATTCTAGTTTTTAGGGTGGTTACTGGTTAGAATATCAGATAATAATCAGAGAAGTTATGGCTTCTCTGATAATTAGGAAATCCAGATTCAGAAATATGACTTCTCTGATACATGTAAAAAGCTAAGATGCTTGTTATCGGGAAAGATGGTTTAGTTTTATGTTTACAATAGTGTCGTTAGAAGCAACAAGACGATACCAATGAAGGGTTTTGGTATGCCTTCAAGGTAGGCAACGTTGCTGGTTCGTTTCGAGATATGTGATAGTAAGGTAATTTTATATTACCTCCGGTCCTTAATATAAGATCCTGTTTGACTTTTACTTTGGTTCTAAATATAAGACCCAAATTCACTTTGTCTCTCATATTTATTTAATTTTTTTCAAGATAGTCCTTCTAATAATTATAGTTCTAGTCAATACACTTAATTAGGAAGGATATTTTAGAAAAGACAACACTTATTTAGGACAAATAACTAACTCAACTTATTTTCTTAATCTCCTCAAATTAGTCAACTGGCTCTTATAATTAGGATCGGACGTAGTATCTGAGTTAAAATATGTTCGTATGGTTTGAGATCTCGTTCTTTCTCTCAAAACTTGAATTTTAATTTTTATGATATTGAAGGAAAACCCACACATGTCAATGTGATCAAGTCAAATTGAAGGGATAAAGTTATTCCTAAGTAAGGTTTTCGACGATTTAGATGTTTTAATTACCCATCCATAAGGTTCTAATCACCATGTTAGATACGCAGAAGCAATGGATAAGTTTTTGTCTTTTGCAGAAATTAATTTTTCCTTTTTCTCATAAAACTTAAAACCAACTTCATGCATTAGGCAATGCAATGAGTGACTTACTACTAATTAATGAAGCTGGCTAACTGGCAAGCAAACATAGCGTTTGAGAAGTAACACTGTAGGCTAAAAGAAAATTTCATATACATTTCTTCTAATACTCTTCCGGTCCTTATTATAAGACTCAATTTGACTTTTTATTTGGTCCTAATTATAAGACCCAATCTATTTTGTTTCTTATATTTATGCATTTTTTTCCAAGATAATCCTTCTAATAATGATAGTTTTAGCCAATATACTTAATTAGTAAGGATATTTTAAGAATGACAACATTTATTTATTATAAATAACCAACTTAACTTACTTCCTTAATCTCCTCAAATAAGTCAATTGGGTCTTATAATTAAGACTGGAGGAGTACTTCTGAAAATTTTTACTCAAGAGCAGCATTAGGTATTTGACAGTTTTTTCGATGCAAAATTATCCCAAAAATTTAAAATCATCGTAATGTTTCTCCTTATCAGGTTTGAGTTCCATTTTCATCACAGAGATTCTGGGACAAACCTCTTTTGAAAGTGAAAAAATGATGCGTCCCATGCTTGAGGATGACGTGTGGAACTAGTTCTGCTTGGTGGCCCACAAAGTTGTGGGAGATTGTGAATCAATGCTTAATATGAGTCAAAGGAATTAGAATATGCCTCTACTATCAATTGAAGCTGATGGCATGATCGTTAGCGCTTCATTCCTAGGTTTGGTATTAACACCAGCACGCGTTCAATCCCACTTCCATGAAACAAATTTAAGAAAACTCCCTTAAGAGGGAGGTGATGTTACATCCTTAGTTTGGGATGAGGTGCGGAGCAAGTTCTGCTTAGTGGCCCAAAGTTGCAGGAGACTGGTGAGCCCACGTCTGATGTGGGTTAACAGAATTGGGGTGTACCTCTATTATCAGTTTAAATTTATGACACGATACTTAAGGGAAGCAGGCCTCGTTGGCGTTGTCGGGGTGCTGGTAATTGACGAGCGGGCAAGAAATATCAACGTTGTCATCCCAGTTATATTGGAGGGCACAAACTAGCCGTTAGCAACGCCAGCCGACCAAAATTTTCTTTTTTTAATTTAAGAAAAAATTCAGCCAAATAATCAGCGAGAGTGATACAACGTCTGTGCAATGCGCATGTTTAAAAAGCAACTGCCAATTATCACCCAAAAAGAAAAAATGGAAAACCAAGTAACTATATTTTTTTTTTCAATTTTCAAATTGGTACCTTTTGTGTTTTTTTTTCTTAATTAAATTTTTAATTTTTCTTTATTAACATCATTAACTCTTGCATAGAGACTAAAAATGCTAATAGAATAAAATTATAAGATCTAATATTACTAAAAAAAAAGTAAAACTAAATGATTTAATTAAGAGAAAAAATACATGGATACCAAATGAAAAATTAAGAGAAAATATAGATACCTTCAATGTGGTTTTTACTGCCAATTACCTTCATTGCCCTTACCTCTTCACAATGGCTATTTCCGTCTCCAAGCTTTTTTTTAAAACCCAAAGACAAAATGATACTCCTCCAGTCCTTAATATATGACCTAATTATTGAGTTGATTTTGATCCGAAATATAAAACCTATTTGTCATGTGTATCAATTTTTTCTAAATTACCCCTATAGATACTTCCTCAATCATAATCAAATAAAAAAGGAAAGGAGGACATTAATGAAGATGATTATGATGTTTTAGGAAAAACATGTCATATTTATTATAATTAATTAACCTTAACTAAATTTTTTAATCTAATCAAATTAGTTAAATAAATCTTATATTAAGAATCGGAAGAGTATTAAAAAGAAGCAAAGTTTACAAAATACATGCTGGGAGTAAACCAAATGGAAATGAATTAAAATCATTGTTTTGGGGATTGCGGGCTTGCGGCCCAAAAACAATTAAAAAAAAAATGCTAACTTGGACTGCACAGAGTTGTACCAAAAAAATGGCGTAAATAGATAAAAATATAAATATATGAATTTAAAAAAAATGTCTTGTAATTCATTTGAGATTTTATCATAAAAATAAAGTTAATTTAAAAATCATTTATTGGTTTTATAAAAATGATAAAAAAATTTTTTAGAAAAAATTATGCTTAACAACCACAATGACAGTTTATTTAAATATAAGGACCTCATTAACAAAGAATGTGCAATGACTGCTCACCGAGATGGGTCACTTTTTACAGGTATTTCAGTTATTACATTTTTTTTTAAATTTTCGTACAAAATCTTCATCGTGTAAAATAATTTAGAAATATAATTTTCTTTAATGGCTCGTATCAGAAAAATAATTTCGCATCAGACGGACACAACCGAAAACGACATTTACCTTAGTAGGTTTACCAGGAATGCAATGGTAAGTCGCTTTGACGAAGCTGGCTGTTCCGACTTCGGCCTCCTGCATCTTCCTGGAGAAAGAGAATGGACATAGCTCTCTTCTCTCCATCATCGCTCTTCTCCGAGGGAGACGGAGAGGAAGATCATGTTTGTGCTGGTAATTTCCTTATTTTCATTTCTTTCTTCGCCTTCTTTATGTTCCCTTCATCTTATGCGACTATTTCTTTACTCTCTCCCTATTCTTTTATAATGCAGGCGAGGAAAACACTGATGTTGAAGATACCCATGTAGAGAGGAGGCACCAGTTTCCTGGAATGGTGAGGCTTTCCTTGAGAGTCCCGTCAATACGTGGTTTATTGTAATCATATTATGAAGAACTATCAATAGCTTTGCTCATCAAGATTAGTAACAACGGCTTAGAACTTGAAAATAACAAACTTTGTATACCTATCACTTGGGCATCATAGGTTGCTTGACAAACGGCTATTTCTATTTTGAGATTTAAGCTAAATTAACCCAATAATTTAATGACTAAAATTTTAGTTCAGCCGTTCAATTTTTTTAAACTAACACAAAAGGAGTTTATTTGTTTAGTTGGGATTGTATTTGAATAATGTGGTAAATCAGGCGCTTTACTCTTGGCGCATTTTAAAGTAGCTACAATCAGTGTGATTGAAAGGTTGCTGGAAGAGTGCAAACTCAAGGCAATGAATCATATGTCCCAAGCTTGTTACATATCTAGTTGACTGGAGGACCCTTGAGGATTTAGTGAATATATCTGCTAGTTGGATGTTCAAGTTGCCTTAACTGGATTTTCAAACATTTTATTCTAGTACAGTTTGATGTTTGGGTTTTGTAGTCACCTGCATGGAATTGGTCTGAGGTGCATTATATTCTATGCAGGACTTGATTATCAGAGAATTTTCCTTTCATCAACTGAACGCTAATTTACTCTGGCCTGGGACATTTGCATTTGCAGAATGGTTAGTTCAACACAAGTCATGCATTGAAGGACGACGCATCATTGAATTGGGAAGGTACCTTTTTTACTTTGTTCTACTGACGGGATCAAACTATCTGTCTTTGCTTTAATTATGAAGGGCAAAGTAAAGATGGTCTTATATAAGGCATCCATGGTGAAGTGATCTATTTAACCATGGGAAGGTAGTCAAAGCTGAAAGGTGTGTTCAGGTTGCTTGACCTTTAAATCACTAATCACTATGAGTATGAGACACTGGAAAGAAGCAAAGCATTAAAAGAGAGAAAATGCTAAAAATACGCTGTTCAAACAAAAATGAATGTAAATTTGTAACAACTTTTGACAGATAAATTAACTAATTGCAATCATGAATCACCAATTCATTAGTCATAATAATCGTCAAATGCATTAAGTCCCAATATGGTGCATTCAAGGATAATAGCATGCTTCATTTTCTTCATTTATTTACAAAAGCCTAATTAGTTTTGGGGGAACGAAAATTTAGATAGGGTGGGTTGGGCTTCTAAGGCTAGGTTTTGTAGTTTCCTATTTTATCTTATGACGGTTTGAAACATTTTGCCTAGGCTTCTAAGCTGCCCCTTCCCTTTCAGCCATCCAATTACACTGAGGTCCCTTAGGTGCACGCCTTAACTTGGTGCCAAAGGTGCTGCCAAGCACCTTAGGCAGTGAAGTGAGCACCTCTAACTACGCTAAAACTTAGATGTTTGCACCAGGCTGTACAATCATCAGTATGACTAATCATAGTTTTTACTTTTTTGACCGACTTGCTGCCATTTCTTACAAAGACTTTTCTCTGTTTTTAGTTGGTTACAGAGAATATTCTATTTTAAAAATTAAAATAATGAGGTTTTTTTTTGGCCATGAGATATGTGCTAATGTGCTCATTGCTCTATTGATATCACAAAACTTGTAATCTTAACATGCCTCCTACAACTTATTGGTATATTTTTGTTTCCTACTTTTTTCATGTCTACTTATTCTTCCCTTCATTTCGTTTTTCCAATTGCTGTTTTTCTTTTATCTGGGTAATTCACATTTGGCACATGCCTGCTCTCATCGAGAATTTTTTAGAGGTGATTCCACACAACAATTCCCCATGCCAGGGGTGGGAGTGGGGGGAGGAACTTTAGGGTGCCCTTGTGCAAATGCACCTGGCGCTGTATTTTTGTATCAATGTTCTTGACAGCTTGACACCATTAATATCCAGTGTGAAAAATGAGCCTTTCATGTTATACAGTTACATCTTGCTTGCAACATCTTTCCACATTTAGAAATTTTGTATTATTAGTTTTGCTAATTTGACGTTTCCCATTTAATTTCAGTGGCACAGGTGCTTTGGCCATATTTCTTCAAAAGTCATTTCATCTTGATGTTACAACATCTGACTATGACGATATAGAAATTGAGGAGAACATAGCTCACAACTGCAGAGTGAATAAAGTACCTGTCATTCCTCATGTAAGGCGTAAGTCTTCTTTCAAGCAACCTATCAGTTAGTGGTTGAAGATCGTGTTCGCAATGAAACACACTTTTCCGATTCTATTTTTCATTTCAAACTGAGGATAACAGAAAATAGGATGTGCTTATTTTTCCCATTCCATTTTCTAATGCTTGGTGCTTATTGCTTACCTTTAAAATCTGTTTAACCTTCCATTTTCCGTATTTAAAAGTGACAATCGAATCATTCTTGAAATTTAGGTTTGTATTTAATTGTATTCTAATTTTTTTTTCCATCGTAGATTTTCTGATTAGTTGCTCTTTTCGCTATGTACTTATTTTTTTCAGATACCTGGGGAGATAAGTTTCCAAATTCTCCTCCTGACTGGGATCTGATCATTGCAAGTGATATTTTATTGTGTAAGATAATCTCCTACCAACTGACTGGCTTGATTGGCTATTTTTAATCATTTTCCATCGTTAATATTGAGCTTGAAATGAGTAAAATCACGATTAAGACCTCATGGTGTTCTTAGTTCCTAGAAGAAGCATAGGCAAGATGAAAATTCCCATTCCCATTCAAGTGTTTGAGTTTGCTACCTGAGTTATAACTTTATAATGGTTGCTCTGGATAACATAATAGCTTCTCTATGTACAAAGGTGTCTTTAGAAGAGTCACATCTATGTCCTGCACATGATGATCACTTCTATTTGTCAGAACGGAGCATTTCAAATCATAAATGAACACCCTAGATTATGTCCCGTCACTGTGTTCCATGTTGTTCTGTGCATGTTCCCTGTTCATGCCTTCAAGTCTGTTTTTTGGTGGCACAGAGCAACAAATCTGGTATCATCACTGATCTTGAAATGGACAAGTTCTTTGCCATTATGTCATGGTTTTGGAGCTAGTGTTTGTCAAAATTGTATTTAGACATAAATAAAATTTTATTTATTCTTTAATGAAAAGCAATTCATTAACAATGCGTCCTGAGAGTCAGAAATCTGCAAATACAACCAAGACATCAGAAATGTTCTTCACTTCTCGTCACTAACATGGCATTCGGCAAAAAAATGCTTGCAGATGTGAAACAGTATGCAAATTTGATACAGACTATTTCCTTTCTTCTCAAATGTTACAAACCGAGCAAAGGAACATCATCTTATCCTCCAAAAGAGAATAACGGTAACTGGCTAGAGACTCTTAAAATAATAAGGAGCATATCTTCACGACTTTTTATAATTGCTGAACATGGTATACTTGCGCTGGCAGGAGATGTGGTGTTACCAAAGCCAGCTTTTCTGATGAGCTGGAGACGCAGAATTGGAAAGGAAGACGAATCCCTTTTCTTCAATGGTTGTGAGGGTGCCGGTCTGGAAGTGCAGCATCTGGGATCTCGCGTATATTGCATTACGCCTCGGGAAAACGAGAAATCAGAGACGTGAAGTTGATCAAATACCAAATATGCCTGGTAAGCATGGTTCATGAAAAGGGGAACGGATAGTGAAGTCGAATTTTGGAAGTTTGGTTCATTAACTGAGTTACTTCCTGTCATAGGTAGCTTTTCTTGTAAAATGTACATCTAATAGTTGGTTAAAAGCAGATGATACTCAATACCTCCACTTGAAATTTGTCAACGTGATCAAAGTGTAATGCACGTTCCAATTTCTTTTACTTGTCTTACTTTCTTCATCACATCATCCATCGCAATCATCTCTTATGTCCCATCTGGAATTGGCTGCACTCAAGAAAGCACCTACCTTAATCCCTTCTCACCGTGAACGGTTTATTATATGCTTTTGTTATCATTTCTACTTGTTATTTTTTGCTCAGGACCCTAGAGGATGCTTTACATCCATAAAGTCACTTTATTTTTCTTCTTTTATTCTGGATACCAAATAAGGTCATTCACATGGACATTTTTTGCTCTCTGACTCAAGGCAGAGTCTCTGGCCTTCAACGGGCAAACCGTACCTGTGTATTGTACCATTTGAGTGTCTGATGTTTCCGAGTCAAATTTGAATTCAAAAAGCTTCCTTGTACAAGTTGGCCTCTAACATCAAATGCAAATCTATGATCATAACGTTCGGCGGAAATAGGAGTCTTCTTGTGTTTCATTGTTGCTGTCATTAAATGTCATAAGATACGGGATCTTTCAGCCCCTCCTTGCGGTCATTTCCCTTTTGGTTTTAGCAGAAATGACAAAACCGAAATCTTGGTGGGGTTATATGAACCGTGTTTGATTTCTCCTCATTATATTTGGCTTGCTTGCTTGAGCTGTCGTTATTAGTACGGATGAAGTTGGGGGACCGCGTGGTAAACCACTGAGTGATAACAACACACACACACACACTCTGGTACGGATGATGTGATAAATTTGATGATGGCGAGAAAGATATAAAAGCTTGTTATCGGAATTTAGAGGTTAAAACATCTTGTCTCGTACATACTTTTAAAAGGGACAAAATTTAGATTAAATTTCTTACATTTATTATGTTAAATTCTCAAATTACACTGCGGGTTTAGAATTAAATTGGACACGTGACGAAATGTGATTAGAGAACTTAAGATAATGATGCTAAGCATTTTCCTATCATTAAGTGGTTAGTTTTATGAATATCCCTACTTATTTTAAGAACTAATAAAAAGTAATTTATCCCAATTTCTGATTAAAAAGGGGAGAAAGAAACTTACCCGTATTGTGACAACTCGTGTTCAACATGACCATGCGTCTCTCAATGATTGGTCCACCTGTTACGCATAATACACCCTTATCCTCTTACTAAATCTCATTACTTTCTTCACTTTATCCTCGGATTCCCTCAATCCAAGGAATATTCTCGCGCTTTGCTCTTTCTTTTTTTTGGGGGGGGGGGGATTCGGAGAAAATATGGTTCCATAATTAATATTCCGTTGGATTTTTTGTAATAAGAAATTTTAAAGTTTTTTTAAATCAAGAAAATGCTTAAAACTTTATTAATTCTATCCAAATTTTAATTAAGTTTTCAACTTCATCCGTATTAAACTCATCCTTGAGAAGTTAAAGAACCAAATTCAAAAGAAAATCATAAACCAACATTAAGTAAGAATAATATTAAAAAATTGTATTAATACCTCATAGGATGCTTTATAAGAGAAAATACAAATCCTTTTTTGTCATAACCCGTTTGAATTCACAATACCATGTTTGAAAATAATTTAAGGAAAACATTTAATATTATTAGATTACAAAGTCATGAAAATTACAAACTTCTCTCTCTCTTTTTTCTTTTTCTTTTGACCCTCTACAGATTTCTCTTTCAAATCTTATAAAAATGACAGGACAGAGCATATAGTTTTAGTTTGATATCTAACTCCCTCCCTTGTTTTAAACACTCAAACACAAACACAAAGAGACAGGGAGAAAGAGTAAACACTCTCTTTTCTAAAACAAAAATTGAAAAGCTTTCTCTGAATCTGACGCCATCTGCTTCTCCTTCCTTATGTTCTTGAAAGTTGAAAGTATGGAAATACTCATTTCTCTATTATTTTTGCTGCCCAAGTTCAAGTTTTAGAAAACCTTTTGATATATCGTGCTTCTTGACTAGATTTTTCCCCAAAAACATCAGTGTAGTTTTTGTCGTGTGGAATTTGAAAATTAAGCGACATTATATGATTTGTAATTTTATGATTTGTGAGTTTTTTTTAATGTTATAGTGTAAATATACAGATGTATGAAGTCAATAAAAAATTTTAAATTTTTTTTGACTGAATAACATATTAATTTGAGGTTTTGAACAAAAAATTTGGTGAAAATTCAATTCTTGAATTTAAAAATTAAAATATAATTTCAAACAAATCAAATTTTGAAATTGTATGATTGACTTGCCATTATTAATTGCTTGTATGAAAGCGACGTGATTACTAAATTACAAAGTGGACATTAAATAATTAAGGAAGGACAAAATATAATTAAGAAATTGGATTACATTGGATGATCAATATTGTGTAACCGAAGAAATTCAAAATGATTACTCCTTGATCCACATCCAAATCAACTTCCAGAAAGCAATCGAATCTCCCGTCAAACTACTCACAGATATTATGCAGCTAATGCATAGAATGCGAACTTTCATCTAATTTATGTATTGAATCACAAGAACTAAATAGAATTTCTTCATATAAAAAAATGAAACATATTGGAAACCAATATCAGGGCTACTGAGATGAGTAATTAGCTTTTACTCATCTCGTGGATGAGAGAAGAAGTTTTAATCACGCTTCATGTAGACCTTTATGACCAAAATAGTGGGAATAAAATTTTATACTATTTTAAATTAGAAAGTTCATTGAATTTGTTGAAAGATGTCTTAATTTCACACTTGGAATATGATTATATTTGTTTTTTTCGATAGTTTATCGCTTCTTTCAGGAGTTTCAGCTCTCTACCAATCATTGCTAAAAATAATTGAATGTTAGAACATTTTATTTTGACAATAGTAAGACACAACAACCTTTGTTCCAATACTTGCATATGATTTTAGAAAAAAACAGCACATATAACGTTAACTATCCATGAAAGAGAGTTCTAAAACATAACAACATCTAGAGAGAAAAAAAACAACACAAATACTCCTAGCCAGATTTTTTCAGTTAACCATTGGCCGTTTGGCCGAGTGGTATCTGTGTGTGTGCGGGGTGTACACATTGCGGGTTCGATCCTGCCCCTTGTAACAAAAAAAAAATTCAGTTAAAAGTTCATCTTCAACAGAAGAGGTGGTAGGCAAAAAAATCTCAATCATAAGAACACATCTCTTGAAGAGTATCTATCTTGTGCTTACAACTTCAAACTATTAGTATCTGTTTCTTTAATTTAAAAGGTAGTAATTCTCACACCTGTGTGTGTGAGGGGTCCAAATTACATTCTCCCTGAATTAATTGTCAATTATGATTGCTTAATGATCATTTCATTTCTTTAAACATAAAATGACGTAGATATGTGCTAGGAAAATATCTAACTGCCACTGGCTTTTGGAGCCACATATTGAGAATAAAAACAAGGTTGTCCTAAACAAGAAGGGGTGAGTAATTTCAACATCAACGTAACACACCAAAGAAAACGTGAACAAGTAACATGATATATTTGGTACCTCCACAAACGTATCATTTTGTATAATGACATAGGAAGCTTCAACGAAACCTCCTCATCATCATATAAACCCATATTTATCAGATATATACCATTGCCTTGTCAAGCTTGATTCAGCCTAGCTATATCTCTTCATACTTACAGTATAATTCCTGTACTTCAAAGTACACAATCTTATCTCCCTTTTTCCTCATCCAAACAAAGCTGGGTACCTACGTATTAATCATGAACAACAAACAATTACTACTCCAGTCCTATTTATAAGACCTTGTTTGTAGACTATAAATGAGGTATTATAATTAGGACCAGAGGTAGTATATTACAATCTATTATACTTTTCCGGTTCTTAATATAAGATCTATTTATCATATTTATCAAGTTTTCTTAAATTATCTCTATGGATACTCCCTCAATCATAATCAAGTAGAAAAGAGAGAGGATATTAAAGAAGATTATTATGGTGTTTTAGAAAAAACATATCATGTTTCTAATAATTAACTAACTTACCTAACTTTCTTAATATAATCAAATTAGTTAAACAGGTCTTATATTAAGGATTGGAGGAGTATGATTTATGATGAAGCTGTCAATTGTGATAATTTCAAAGTGGAGGGGATACTAATAATTTTTTGACATATTAATCATGAACAACAAACAATTATCCAAACGTTTGGGACAAGTTTTATATTATATTTAAATATTACTGAGAAAGAAAAGAGGAAGCTTCGTGGAAGCTGTGCAGAGAGGGTTGGGAACCACATGCATGCAGATAATGGAGACGATGCGAAGGATACTCTCGTATCCCTTCGTTATGCTGAAAGGTGATCTACCACGGAAATATTATATACATATATATACATACATACATATATATATATATAGCCTCTTTCAAATCTTTAATATATATATCAGAATTAATACAATTAGTGTCTGTTAGAACAAAAAATAGACAACAGAGAGAATTTAAAAAAAAAAAAAAGAATAGAATAATTTTGACCAACAAAATTTATAAATAGTTATCTTTATTTTTAAAATACATATAAACTTTCTTTGATAATGGGACAAGAAGGGAGGGAAGCCGTTGATAATTATTTACCACAAAGCAAATAAGGACACTATGTACCTATTTATACCTTCCATGTGATGTCTGAAGGCCTGCCCTCCTGAAAACAATGTGGGTGGGTCGCCATGAGCTTTATATATAATTAAGCATGGCGTTTATTAATTATTAGTTATTAATTTTATTTATTGTTGCTCATTGATTCTATATACTACCTCCGATTCTAATTATAAGACCCAGTTGACTAATTTGAAGAGATTAAGGAAGTAAGTTAAGTTAGTTATTTGTAATAAATAAGTGTTGTCATTCCTAAAATATCCTTGCTAATTAAGTGTATTGGCTAGAACTATCATTATTAGAAGGACTATCTTGGAAAAAAATGCATAAATATGAGAGACAAAATAGATTGGGGTCTTATAATTAGGACCAAACAAAAAATCAAATAGAGTCTTATATTAAAGACCGGAGGTAGTATAATATACACATGGCGCGCCATTCCCGCGGACG